CCCTTAGGTCATTTTATAGCAGCTTCCCTACTGGGGATAAGCCATAAAAAGGAAGCAGGAGTACCAGGATGCATCTTTATATTTACTACTGGCTCTCATTTTCCTTATAAATTCATTTTGTGCACAGTTTCAATCCCACCCCCTTGCTTAGAAGATGAACTGTTTGTCTAAAACAGGTTGTTTCCTCTCATACCAGACGATCACTTAAGAGGGAAGCTTGTATTATACTAAAGTGACTTTAAAACAGGCTTTGAAAAGAAAGGAAAAAGGGGGATATCCTTTTCTTACAAAATTGCAAACAGTGTTTTCTCAGCTTTGTCTGTGCAGTGAATTGACATTTCTAGCAAGGACAAACAAAGGCGCCATGCCATGTATTAAAACCGAACAAGAATCAAAGATTGCTTAAAAAAAGAAATGGGCAAATTTAAGTAGTGAACACATATGTTCAGTCTAGCCCCCAAGGACATTTTCTTTTAGCCAGTTCATGTGATACTCGATGAAGTACGAGCTACAGGTTTATAGCTGAAATACTGTGCCGGTTAGCACCTTTGTTTTCCCCAGTTTCCCAATTTTTTGCTCCACTGTGTAGGCTGTTGTATACTTTAGAGAAATCACTCAGCCTCTTGCTTCCCATTTCTGCTGGTAAAATTGGGAACTTGCATTGCTCTGTTCAAATGACAGTCTCAGGAGGGATAGGCGTCTGTCCTTTACTGTCTTTATGATCAGCCTGTTTCTGTGAACTCCTGGCTCTGGTTGTTACTGTGCTCCTAAAACCAGAATAATAACCCCAGAGAGCAGTCAACATTGAAGTGCCCCATTCTGCAGTCATATGTACTATTGGAGTGTACCAATATTACAGACGGGACTGCCTTGGTCTGTCTGGTCTCAGCTGCTGACTGAATGGCGGCACCTGTGGTGTTTTCTCCCCAGAGTTGCTATTCAGTACCTGTGCTTGCAGTTGAGCACGTGGAGACAAGTCCAGACATGCCCCTAGCTCCAGTGCTTGTGGGCTGGAGCTTGCTTTGAGGGGGTCACTCATCAGGCCTTCCTGAGCTGGAGGTTCCTTTAACGCAATGGTGAAGAAAGGAGTGGGTCCTGATGGAGAGTTTTTAATCCAGAGTTTTATTTCAATGGTACAGTCTCTGAATCTTGCAATAACTCCCATGAACTCTCTACCAGCACCCCAACTGCGTGGTCTGCTCATCCTTTTACCTGGGCAGAGGGGCAGGGGAGGGGACCCGGGGAACACCAACCAGGTACAGGGGGAGGGGGTCTCAGGTGAGAGGGACACCTGGGTGGGTCAATGGCCCCCCAGGGGTGGAGAGCATCCTTTGGACCTGCCAATTGCTCAATGCTCTCATTGGAATTTCTGGGTTGATAGACAGTGCCCAGCAGGGGTCAAGGGTAGGGAAAGGAAGGGTGATTGAAAACCCACCTGGGGAAGGAGATTTCAGGGGGAACCCAGGGGAAACTGAGGCAAATCACGACATCACACCGCAACAATGTACAACAGTTGAAATTCTTTCTTCACACATGACTCCAGAGATTTGAATGTTCAGGGGACAGGACAGCACACTTTCTTCTCTACTAAGGTGCAGGACAGGTGCTGTACATGGCTGTGTTGATGAAGGCAATTATGTTCTGAGTCTTTTTCTAATCCTAAACAAGATAAAAGGTCCCTGATTGTAGAGTGGAAGAATGGTTGATGTGCAAGAAATATTTCAATAAGAAGGAACTGTTGAGTTTGAGAGCACTTAAGGCGTGTCTGTGTTGTTGGCAAGAATTGTGATGGCTTCTATTTCACATCTGTTAAATATTCAGCATCTGCTTTTAGCAATCGTTACCCTTTTTGTGAGGTTGAATGGGTTTGACTGGATTTTATGCAATTGGTATACTGTGAGAGTTTGTGAAGATTTGCTTAAATTCTGAGATTATTTCACTTTTGTCTGCCTGTGGTTTTCTTCAAATGTCTGAGCAAATGCACCATGGTGGCAAAAGCATTTGAGGAAAATAAATGTCAAAATCCCATGTGCTGCTACTGCTGGAAGTGGGAATTTAACTAAGGTCTGCCAGCTTTCATAGTAAGAATTCTTGTGTGCTTTTCAGAAAATAGAAGTTTAGTTTTTAGGAAATAGATAAGTCCTGTCTTTTTGGGTGTTGAATTACAGAGAGCAAAATCATTTAGAAAGCTGTTCATTGAATATGCTCAGAAAAAGTCACAGCGGGCTGTAGTTTCTGAAAGCAGGAAAAAGGCCAATCTTATGTCATAGGCTAATAAAATGTATTAAGCATGAAGTCAGTAAAGTTGTGTAGGAAATCCTCTGAAACTGGGCTGGAATAGCAACTTACCGTCAACATTCTTAGAAAAATAAAAACTTATGTAAAATATGAGACAAAATAACATTTGGCCTCTTTGTATTGTAAGGAAACTTGGCAAAGGCTGAGTATCCTTCAGAAGGGAGCATTGTTTGCTATGAGTAACCTCTGCACAGCTCTCCTGTGAGGAGAACTCCTTGATAAGCAAGTCACAAAACATTTTCTTGATGCACATTGTTAGTACTGTACTGAGAAGTTTGGTCAGAAAGTTAAAGGTTGCTAAATCAATGACTCCAAGTTTTTCTAGAAAATATTTGCCTTAGGAGATGTCTAGCTTTGGGAGATGCACAAACAGGAATATGGTTTCCAGCTGCCTGGGCGGAGGGCACCATTTCAGATGGTGAACTGAACACAAGCCCACGGGGAGCTCCTTCCCCAAGCTCAAGCGTGGCCTGAAAGGGAGGTTTTGAGGGAAGCATGAGCTACGCCTCCTCTGCTGTGAGCCCAGTGCCAATCTCATCAAGCCACAGACAAAGAGGAATAGAGAGCGTGGAAATGCTCCAGTGGTGTCTCATAGTGGCACCTCTGGGGAACTGACCAGTGTTTGTGGAGTGTGAGTGAGACCAGTGCATTTCTCCATCGAGCTGTTTGCTCCCTTGCTGGGGAGGGCAGCTGTTCATGCAGCAATTGCACAGCACTGTTAAAGCCTGGTTTGTATTTTTGCTGGGTGGCATGGGGACTTATATTTTATGAATATTTTATTCAGAAGGTAATACCTCCAGACTGTGGTCTTTGTGGTGTGAATTCACTCTATGACTTAATTGCTGGAAGTCTTTCCTCACATTTATTCTCAGTGGAAGCAGATTGCTGGAGGTGAAGCTGTTACAAGTAAGAGCCTTCCCCCACTTCCTTTTCCTTCCCAGTGTGCAGGGAAACTGGTGCCCTGCTGTGGTATCACAACACTGGAAACCAAAAGCCTGCATTTGTGCTGGATGAGTTGCTATCCTACATGGAACATTAAGGAGAAGCAACTGATTGTTTAAAGAATGGCTGAGAGGAAATGGATTTGCTGTTTACCTTTAGAACTATTAATTTAAAAAAATCAGGGCTTCTAAAGTCTTGATTTTTTTTTTTTTTTTTTTTTTTTTTTTTTTTTTTTGCAATAGACCCAGTTGGATTGGTAGTTGCAGCTTGAAAATCCTAGCTGAAAAATGAATTATCTGCATACATCCCAGAACCAAAATATTTGGGGGCTAATTTAGATTCAATGTTATCATGCTGACAACCTCTTACCAGCTCTAACTTCATCTTTCCTCCTGTAGCTCAAAGCTTGTTTGGCATTCCCAGTTGTAGGTGAAATGCTTTGTCACTCCCATGGTTAGGAAGGACATGGGAGGATGCATTGCTCTGGAGATGCCACTTTCCCTGTCACTGACTTGGTGGATTGGTATGTGATGGACTGGTACATGATGAGATGTAGTTGCTGAACCAGGAAATGTGTAAACAGATTGCACAGTAAGGAAGAAAGGGGTGCAGAAATCCTGTGCTGCTGCCAGGTACTCTCCTAGTGTGTGTGATGAGCTGATCCATGTGGCTTGAAAATCAATTCTCACCTTGTAGTGCTCACGTAACAAGGGTGATGAGAGCTCGTTATTCTGCCCATGTCAGCCTCTGACAGAAAGGATGAAAGGGATTCATGCTTATCCTCAAAATCTTTTCCTCCAGCCTCTGCTGCTTTCCTTTTTACACTGACTGGACTGGGAGAGTCCAGTCTAATCTGGACATTCAGGATCTTTACTGGACAATATGCCAAAGCTGGGTTCTGAGTTGCCATAACACAGAGCAACTGGGGGTCAGGCAGACAGGGACCTCTAGGCCTGGCTGTCTCTGGGCAGTGTAGCGCACATCTGCTCTCCCTGTGATTTACTGATTTTGTGAGAAGAAATGACTGTTCTTCTACTCCCAGGAAGTTACTGTGGGCTTGTTCTTATCTGCTCCAGCTTCACCCTTCCTCCTGTAGCTCAGTGGGTTTGCATGCTGGGCTGTGAGTGAAACTCTCCAGTGCTACCATGGTCAGGGTGGACTGGTAGGATGGAGATGCCACTTTCCCAGTCTCTGCCTTGGTGGATTGATGCGTGATGGACTGACCCAGGAGGAGATGTGGTTGCTGGGTTTTCCTTCTCCCAAGTACCTCATGCGGGCTTGTTTCTGACAGGGAAGGACTGCTTGGAAAAGCACCTATACAGCATCCTCTCGGGTTGGCGCCACTCGCTCACTGCCGAGCCTCTTGCGGCGGGGCTGGGGCGGACGGGCAGCACTGCCCGCTGGCGCCGCGCTCCGGGAGCGGGGCTGGTGCTCTCCTGGCCCCCGTAGCTAGTGCCGCTGCCCCGTTCCCTCGGGCCGCGGCCGGACGCGGGGCGCTCCCTGGCGCTCCCCCTCCTGCGGGGGCGTTGCCGCGGGGCCGCGCGCGGGGGCCGCCCCCGCCCGTCCGCGGGGAGCAGCGGCTGCCCCGAAGCGCGGGGCTGGCGCCGCGCCCTCCCCATTGGCTGTCGATGACGTCATATCCCCGCCTCCGGACCGCCCCCCGCGCTTCGATTGGCTGACGTGGCCGCCCGTCGGCACGGATCCCTCCCCCGCCGGGCCGTACATTTACGCGGTAGCAAAAGAGAAAGTAACGAGGATGGTGCGGACGGCGCGTGGAGCGCGGGTCAGCGGGCGCGATACGCACCGGGACCAGCGGCTCCTCCCGCGGCGGCCGCCGCCACCTCCGCGCACCGGGCCGGAGCGCGACGCGCCGGTGAGTACCGGGCAGCCGAGCTGAGTTGCGCGGGGCACGGCACGGCGGGGAGCGGGGGCCCGCGGCTGCGGCAGCCCGCGCAGAGGCTGCCGCGGCGGGGAACGCCGACCCGGCCTGCCGCGCTATTGGCGGCAGCCCCCGCTCCCGGCGATTGGGGGCAGAACTTTAGCTCCCCGCTTTTCGTGGGCTCTTTCGTTGTCTCCCCTCATTGGGGGAGCTGAGTTGTCTCCCTCCTTTATTTAAAAATTTTAACTGCGTCAGGCGAAGGCGCTCGGGGGGCCCTTATCCTAGTTCTTATCCTAAAATAGGGCGGGGGGGAGGGTTGGGAAAAGAACGGGCTGGGAAAGCCTCCCGAGCGAGACGCCGCTGGCTCCCCTCTGCCCGGCCGCGGCACCTTCGCCGTGCCCGGGCGAGCGGGTCGCGGCATCTTTCCGCGCTCCTGAGGTGCCGACGGGTTCGCTCCGTAGAGCAGTGGCTGCTGGGGGTGGCAGTGCTCCCCGGCCATCCCCTGTTCGGGATGGACATCTCCTAGCTGGCCGGGGCGGAGCTGCGAGTGCTTGCCCCGCTTTGGGCGAGTTGGTGAAGTTGGTGCTGGGATGGGTTTTTCAGAGAGACCTGCGGCTGCTCCCAAAGTTGCTGGTGAAGGGGACGCACTGTCAGGGCTAAGTGGGTATTTTCTTCCTGTCGTCTTCGTTGTCTGCCGAGTAGAAACGGGGGGATTCAAATCCTGCGTGCTGCGTCTTAGCAAATGGGAAGGCAAAGGTGAGGCAGGCAGTGACCTTGGTTGGGGCGGAGGGGACCACTCTTTGAAGAAGCTGTGAAATGTGGTGGGGAGCGGGAATTCACCTCACGGACTGCTGTAGAACAGCAGAGTTCCCGAGCCTGGAGCTAGGGGCTTAACTGGGGTCGGATTCACCTCTAACTGGGGGAGGGAAGTGCAAGATGCATGCGTATAAGGATCTCCAGAAGCTAATTTTTTTTGTTTTCTTCTGGGTATTTTTTTGTTTAGCCTTACGTGTTTGAGTCTGTAACTGTCTCAGAAAATTTATTCACAGGCTAATTTTATTCCAGCATGCTGGAAAAGTTGCCTATCACCCCTGACACATTCAGCTCTTCAGCTCTTATTATTATTCTCAGTGGAAGCAGATTGCTCAGCTCTTACACGTTCCTCCCTGTAGTAGACTCAGCCCAGTAGTTGCTTCCTTTGCAGTGAGCAATGGGATAAGGGAACGTGCCTCTGTCATTATTGGTGGTGAGCCTTGCAGCCTGGGGTTTTGGAATAGCTCAGTACAATCTGCATGTAGCTAAATGCCTTCTCCTGGGTGTCACTGCACACTGCTCGTGTGGATTTTGCGTGCCATGGGCACACATGCAGATAGCTGAATAGATTCTCTGATAGATTCTCTTAATAGATTCTCTGCAGCACTGAAGAGGCTTTTTAGCAGCTACTGTGAGCTGGTAACTGTCAGAAGGAGTTGTTATGTTAGGCATAATGGGTGTCAGCAAAATAAATTGCTGGATCTGTCGGTTTATGTGTTTCATGATCTGTTTTCATCACCTTTTTTCTTCTTTCCCTTCTGCTTTTTCTTTTTCAGGGTGATCTTGAGTTCTTAACTTGCTAGTGCTCAGCCTCCTCATGCCTCCATCTCCTTTAGACGACAGGGTAGTAGTGGCACTTTCGAGGCCAGTGAGACCTCAGGATCTCAACCTGTGTTTAGACTCTAGCTGCCTTGAATCTGCCTCTTCTGCTGGTGAGAGCCACGCCGGTCTCCTCGGTGCAGCTGTCGTGTCCCTAAAGGCTGCTAATCTCACGTATATGCCCTCATCCAACGGCTCTGCACGCTCCCTGAGTTGTGGATGCAGCAGTGCCAGTTGCTGCACTGTGGCAACATACGACAAGGACACTCAGGCCCAAACTCCAGCTAGCACCAGCAGCACCCACGCCAGAGCCTCCCCCACCTGCCCTGCCAACCAAATGGTCAACAGCAATGAGAACGTTGGCAGCCTGAGCCCGCTGGGTGGAGTGGGGAGCCCTGTCTCAGGCAGCGCCAAGCAACTTGCCAGCATCAAAATCATTTACCCCAATGATCTGGCCAAGAAGATGACCAAATGCAGCAAGAGCCACCAACAGAACCAAGGGCCTGTCATCATTGACTGCAGACCCTTCATGGAGTATAATAAGAGCCACATTCAAGGGGCTGTTCACATTAACTGTTCTGACAAGATCAGCCGGAGAAGGCTCCAGCAGGGCAAGATCACTGTCTTGGACTTGATCTCCTGCCGGGAAGGCAAGGACTCCTTCAAGAGAATCTTCTCCAAAGAAATCGTAGTTTATGATGAGAATACCAATGAGCCAAGCAGGGTGATGCCTTCCCAGCCACTCCACATAGTGCTGGAGTCACTCAAGCGAGAAGGCAAGGAGCCCCTAGTCCTAAAAGGTAATAGACCTCGTTACCCAGCTCACAGTGTGTTGGTTTGCTTTGCAGTGTGTACTCTCTGCTGTAAGCCTTGCTGATGGTTGCACCTTGAAAGTATCTGTTTATCTCTGGAAAGGCCTGTGTTTCTCAAATTACCAGTGACAAAGCAAATGCCTTCCATGGACAAATAATGGAGCTGGTAGCAGAGAGATGCTTGCTTTTCTCTGGATGTTGTCCTTGAGTAGCAGGAGGGGTGGGAAGTGGAAGGAGGAGGAAATGTGCTTCCTGGTGTCTGCCTGTGCAAAGAATTTCCCCCAGTGCTTATTCCTAGTATTTATAGCCCAAGGAGCAGAGGTCCAGGAGGGGATACTTCTCTTTTAGCTTGTCAGACTGACCTTTACTTAGGAGCCTTATTTTAGTCCGTGTAAAACTGGACTCATAGGTGCTGGAGATGGACAGTGGGAGAGTAGAAGGAGGGAGGAGGAAAGGTGAGGGAGGTCACTTGGTCTGAGGCATTGTGTCATGGACCAGTCAGCAAAACTTGAACAATCAAATCTAGTTTTGGTGATACGGGGTCAGAATAATGGACAGAGGAAAATTATTTGTTTAAAAAGTGCTCTCTGAAAGTGGTATATTTCTGTGTATGAGTGCTTATGTATGTATACATAAGCTTTACAGGCTATCCTGTAAGGGCTTCTGTTTTAATATGGAATTTGATTTATCCCTTAATGCTTTGGTGGAGATGAGCCCCACCAATTAAGGCATCATCCAAGGACACTTCCCTTTCTTCACTTTATTCTCGAGATCCTATTTATAGCAATGCTGCCCTCTAGATTAAATTTCCTTTCCCCTGCGTGCTTATGCCATTCGGAGGCATGGCTGGCAGAGACTGGCTGTGGCAGTGGGGAACTATGGAAGGATTTGCTGCTTAGCTCATACTGTATGTATTTAATTTGCTTAATTTTTCTGTGCAGCTTGCTACTTCCAACCTGCACGGTGTGGCAGGAGAATGGAGCAGGCTGGTACTTTATCCCTTTTCCTCAGCCGAGTTTCATGGCTTTGTAGAACCTAGGCATCCTGTGAGATACTCCGTGCTTGTATCTTGTGGAAGCTTGAAATTGCTGAACTGTCCCCTTGCTCCTGGCAAGAGTGTAGTCATACTGGGCTTGTTTTAATACTTGCTACAGGATCCCAGTATGCTTTTATTGAGTCTCTGGGGTCATGATGATGCACTTCATCTGTGGAAGAAGGAGATGAGGCACTCAGCAGAGCGAGGCTGCCACTGGAATTGGGCCTTTCTGGTGGTAATCCTTCTGTTGTACAGCCTTTGCAGCTGGATGTGTGGTTGTAGTCCGCAAGCCTTCCTATCTTTAGAAAAGTGGAGTGCTGAAGATATTCTCTGTCTTTCTCTGAAAACGTTGTAGCTTCTCTGAACGTCTTATGGTACTTCTTCAGTACCTGGAGTGAGATCATGGCTGAGATGAAGCTGCAGAGCAGTAATTGGGCAGCACTGAGCTGTTGGGCCCTGTGGGCAGGTTGTGGCTGCCCCTTCTCCCACGTCCCAGCTCTTTGTGCTGCTCTGGGTTTAATCAGGTGCTCATGGCAGTCCTTGGGCCGTTTTTGGTTTTCAGATACTAAGAAATGTAAGCTTAGCAGAAATCTCTTCCCCAAACTGGCCTGTCAACAGATCTGGAAGTGTGCCAGAAGACAGAAAGCCCAAATCCTTTGCTTTTTGGATATAGTGATGAGCTGGGCTGGAGCAGACCTTACCTCAGGGAGCCTGTGGTGAGGAGCTCCCCCCATCACTGTAAGTCCCCTCCCGTTCTTTGAAGTGGAGCTCCAGCTGGGGTCAGATGGAGCTGAGCATGGGATAAAGCAGCATTTGGGAAGGCTGCGGTTAACTTTCCGAGCTGGGGGATTGGCGCTGGAAGCACTCGTTACTTAGTTTCACTTGACAGGCAGCGTTTTTTCCGTCGTGCTTCAGCCGCCCAGGAGCTGGCGCATCCCCATCCCTGTGTTCAGGCGCTAAAACGAAACTGGGGGTGGCCGGGGAGCCCTCTTTGCCTGGGTCTGTTACTTTGAGTGATTTCTCTCGCTCTCCGCTGCCCGGCCCTAATTTATTGCCGGCCCATTTGATCCCCCGTGTTGTGTTTGCAAACGCTGGTTGCTAGCCGGGCTGTCCAAGTTCTCGTCCCCCCAGTGCGGTGCCGCCTTCTCCATGTTTGGTGCTGCCTGTCAGCCCGCGGCCCCGCTGCCGCTCCCGCGCCACGCTGGCACCTCGCGGGCTCGGTCCCATCGCCGAAGCCGGGGCTTGGGTTACTTCTCTGCCCGACAGTGCCTGGCCCCGCAGGTGAGCGGCTTTAAGGTGGCCCAGGCTTTTTGAGCAGCACAGCAGCTCTTTGCTCTTTTCCAAGACCGGGCCATGATCTATAGATAAATGTATGTATGGTGTGCCTTATTAGGCACAAGTTAAAAAGAGGTGGTCTGGTTTATTTTTAATGTAGCAGACCAGTGTATAAACTAGTGCTGGGACAAGAGAGTTTTGTGTACGCTGTGGCATGGAAGATTTTAAGACTTCAGTTCCTCCCTTTCTATCCATGCCTCTCCTTGCTACTTCCTTTAACATTTTTTTTGGTCATAAATTTAACACATGCATAATTTTGATTTAAACTCTTAAGCAAGATTTGCTTATTTCTTTTGCCATGAGGTACAGCAACACTTGAGACAGGCATAAATCATCTATTTTTACAAAAAAAAACCCCGTAAGAATCTTGTATTTCACAGTCCTGCTACACAGGCCATAGCAGCCTGAGCTGTCCTGGCTGAAGCTGCTGCTCAGTCTGTTTATAAACAAAACAGGAATAAATCATATTTCCCCCAACACCCCATGACCATGGTATTCCATGTTTCCTGAAAACTAAAGGCCTCACTTTTTGTGGATGCTTTTTTTTTTTAATTTTTTTTTTTTTTTTCATAGCATTGGAATGGAGAGGGGGAAAAATCAGTGATATGAGCCCAGTGTCCCTTCTGCTCGAGGCCAATGTCAAAACTGAATTTGGGGAGGGGAAGAGCATGGTGTTGTGACCCCAGGTTGGGTCAGCAGCCCTGGCCTTCCTTGGTAGGGCTGTACCCCTTTCCCTCCTGCAAACCCAACAGTGAGGCATCTCTGCCTTCCCTGAGCACCTCAGCTCATAGCAAGAGTTTCCTTGAGTTTTGGGGCCTTGTGTGCTTGAGTTTGCTACTGGGACCTAAAAATGGAAAGTGAGAAATTAATTTGTATTCAGATGAAAAGTACTCGTTTTCCATGACTGAAACATTTAGGCTTGGAGTTCAGCTTTTTTTTTTTTTTTTTTTTTTTTTTTCACAAGCTAAATTCAATCTACAAAGGAAAATAAAATGAAAAATTGAAGCATCTATGCCAGCACATCTTCGCAGCTTTTAACACAAGAGGAGTTGCCTTTGTCTCTCTGACCAGGGTCCAGTGGAATTGTCTCCATCCTGCTGTTCTTCTTCCCTCAAGGCCCACCTTGGGCCTGGTGAACCTGCTTAAGTCTTGTGTTTAGTTTGTAAAGGCTTCTGTATTTGACTTCAAGGAATTCAAAAGCAGAGGTGAAAAATATGATTTGGGTTTTTTTGTTTTTGTTTTTTTTAATTCCCACTATATGCTGTAAACTCATGGCTGGACTTCTGCAAAGGAGATGGGAAGGAATTAGCTGGTTCCTCCACAAAACCTGGTTCTTTCTTTGTTCTTGTTCACAGTCTGAGGAGCTTATTTATGCTCTGCCTTTCATTCTTCTCTCTGCTCATCGAAGTAAATGAAGTGACTTGCTCTCATTATAGTGGGGAGTGTAAGACCTGCCAAGAAACCATTTCATGCCTTCTGCCATGGTCCAAGAATAGTTTTAGATCTCTTACCACACTAGAATCACATATCAGCAAAGTTGAAACAACTACAGAGGGACTGAGATCTTTACAAAAGGAATAATTACTTGCTTTATGTTCTCCTACATTCATGTAAATACTGTGATCAGCTGCCTTTGAAATACCTGACCTGGTCGTAACTTGTACAAATATATTAATTATTACTTTCATTAATTATAGAATTTAACAGTGTCAGTGTTGCTTTAAACCCTAATTGGATTACACTGCAGAAGTGTATTTGAAACTAAAACTTGATGTAATGGTCAACACATCCAGCTGACCAACAAAACATGTGCCTGACACTTATTTCCATCAGAGATCTCCACTGAATAAGTATTAGGTCATGGTTGTAATAGGGAAATGTGTAGTTTTAAAAACACTGGACATTTTACGTGAGTTACTTAACATTTAAAAATAAAATGTTCCCTCTGTGCTGCAGAAGAGAGCTGGACCTATCTGTCACTGGGGGAAAAGCTTCTTCTAGGTTTGTCAGGGCTGAGATTTCACCTTCAGTATTCAGCTCTGATAGCTGGTGCTTAAAGTATCTTCCTACTGAAATAAATAATCTTCTTGGCCATCACACTAGAAAATTGGTTGTATGTGTCATTACCTTTTGCATATAGATAAATTGGGACAATGGTGTGGCTGGAAAGCAGGGTCTTTTGACATATTTTGAGGGTACACTTCTGCAGAGGAGGGGTACCTCTACGCTTTGCCTTTTCAACAGTAATGGTAAATGTGGTATTTTCTCTGAGATTATGGCATCTGAGAGTTTGCTGGCTTGCATGGTGCTTATCACATTTTACTGTCCTTGGGAAGAGAGCAATGACACTGCCTTGGAAAGGGAGGAATAGAAAGGAGATTTGCCCCCCACCCATTTTTGGCTCTGCAGTTTCTTATACCTTTGGAATTAAGAACTAAGAGTTAAGAAGCAAAATGTTACATTAGGCAAACCTCTCTGATGCTTGTAAAGAAAAATCTGGTTCCAGTTCTGTGTAAACTGGGGTAACATTCCCTATGATGTTCCTGGTAGGTAGATGTTGGGTTATAATTAGCTGAATGCCTCATGTACTGCCCTTACCCTTGCCCTGCCAGAGGTG